TTTTTTTTTTGAACATTTAGGCCTATAATGCCCGTACTCGCTACAATTCTCACATTGGTTTTGACGTTTTGCCAGCTTTAATTCTTCTGATCGTTTGATTCGTTTAGAACTTTTTGGTCGTCCTTTCGCCTTACGTTTTTTTGGGTTTTGAAGAGGTATATCAGATAATGAATTAGTTTCTTCATATTCTTCATTATCGTCTAAGCTATTACTGTATATCTCCTCATTATCATCATTGGCTGGGCTGTTTACTAACTCTTCATCCTGCATTTTAGTTAATAAATTTTGTAGCTTTTCAAGAACATCTTGTCTATAAAGTTGAACTGCCTTTTGCGTGATATTTTGTGCAACTCCCCATAATTCTCCATATAGCTTTTGTTCATTAATGTTTTCCTTTCTTTCGTCCCAGAGATCAGCTGGTATAAACAATCTATTTATGTTAGATCTTGTGAATTCTGTAGGTTGATCTTGAGAAAAGTTCTTACTACAACATGTGGCAACATAATAAGGCTCTTCCTGTAAATCACTATGAATGTACTTGTACCATCTTTTATGAATATATGTAATATGGAATGCAGCTATATGACTACATAGCATCACCTGAAAAAAGTAACAACAAACTACCCCACAATTTACAAGCCCCAAACAAGAGCATACATAAGTCTTATCAGAAAGAAGGACAACAAAATGACAAAATGTCAAAGCCATAATTATACGGATGGCCCAGATTTCCTCTATTTCGTTGATGTCTATATTTTCCAATATATACTTAATTGAAATTTGCATAATATCTTTGTCATCTTCTACAAATGAGATATTATCTGATTTGGGCTTAAATAGAATAAGATTCTGTAAGTTCAGTATTATTTTGCAACATTATTCCTAAAAAACAATACCGTATTTTCGCGAAATAACACTCCTGCGCGTTATTTCACGAAAATATAGTTATAGTACATACCTCTTGATATTTAATCATTTCATCTTTTGTGATAGCAGATGCATGATAATTTAGGCAACTTTTAATTTTAGCATGCTGAATTTTTTGTATTTCAGACAAAATAAACTGACTCAAAGCTTTATCGAGTTCGGGAAATAATGTTTGCGGTAATATAGCGGCAGACAATATTAATGGAATTTGTCTTCCAATAAGCATACTTTACTTTTTTAATCTCCTCTTCTATACTTGCTTCCAAGGCTTCAGCAAGTTCGAGTAGGCTAATATTAGAGTTTAAAACCAGTCTTTTGACCTGAGCGTTGTAACTCTCAACGCGAGATGTTGATTGTATGCCGGCGGTGAATATCTTTGTGGTGTAAGCACGTACCCATGCTTTTTTTGAAGAATATAATGTTTTTAGATGCTTTACAACTCTAGACTCATTATATTTCTTAATTAACTGTTTCTATTTTTGTTCAAAAACTTCCGGAACAAGAGAATTTCTAGCAATGTAAAAATCTTGAACAAACTCCTAATACTGTTGACCCAACTTAGCCTCAAGATTTTGATGAAGGTTTTGTGATATATGGAATATACAATGCATGGTATAAGATTGTTCATACTCCTCAGAGATTGCAAGATCCAAAGCTGGATCAGCATCAGTCATAATAACAGCAGGTATATAGCCTCCAGTGGCCTGTTTTGTCTGATGTAAAACCCACTGATATGAATCTGCTGACTTATCGTTCATAAGCACACATCCAACTAGTTGGGAAGACCCGTGATTGTTAATACATAAGAAAAGTGAGAGGGCTATATCGTATCAGTTTGTTTTTGCGATATTATCGCTAAGTATAATATCACAATACTCTATCCAAAGGATGATCTGATCAGAAGACATCCAAAATAGCTTTTGAAGGCTATGTGATTCTTGGTCCCACTTAATTGCAATATACCATCGAGGATCTTTATTTTTTCTTCTTACTAATTCTTCATACAATGATGCAGCATCATTTAACATATTCTTTCGTTTCCCACTATAATATTTTGTTGTTGCTTTATGAATTTCAGAAAGGTAAACTTTATGGTCAGTAAATTCATTTCGTAAAGCCCTCTGAATTTGTAGCGGCTTTAACTTAACAGTATTCACATAAAATTCTACCCTATCATACATTTC